TTTAAGATGTCAGCTCTGGAAGTGTCTTTGGAAGATGGCATGGGAGAAATTAGCTTGCAGGACTCTGCCAGTATGTAGGGGTTAATCCCTTCCTGTTTGTGTAGCTTTTATTTTGTGTCTTCATGATAGTAAGATGTATTTAGCTAAGTACCTTCTTCACTACATAGAAAATATGATACCGGGGGCCAGTTACCGGTCTGTTGAAGCAGAATACAGATGGGTTGAGAGTTGCACCCAAGTAAGGATTGCCATACTTTTTCTATAAAATGTCAATTGATAAACACTTGGGTGTTTGTGGACCGCAGGGTTGGTATGCAGTTACCACCTCTGCTGCTGCCCTGAGAGCACTATCCTACATGATAGATAAACAATGTAGTGTGGCTACATTTCAGCAAAACTGTATATACAGAACAGGTGATGAGCTGACCTAAGAGACATAGGGTGCCACCATAGGCCCAGAGCCTCACATGCAGCTTCTTGTGTCTTTGCCCACGTTGGCCATAGACAAAGCTGTGATTTGAGGGTTGTCAGAAGCCTTCAGCTGGAATTCTCCTTCTCTGTCAGTCACAATGCTGAAAATGCTAGCCATTAAAATTCTTCCTTTCAGGGCTGGGCGTGGTAGCGCATACCTTTAATCCCAGCACTTGGGAGGCAGAGCCAGGCGGATCTCTGTGAGTTCAAAGCCAGTCTGGTCTACATAGTGAATTCCAGGACAGCAGTGGCTACAGGGAGACCCTGTCTCAAAAAGATCAAAAAAAAAAAAAAAATCTTCCTTTCAGACTGTTCATATGTATTCAGATAATAGCTCTTATTGAATTCAGCAGGTAGCCTGTACTTATTTAAACTCCAGGAGGCATTCATTTATGTTTACTCTAAATAGAAGTCTAGGATTATTAAGGGAATGAGACAAACTATAGTAATTTTTTTTCAGTGATGAGAAAAGAATTGTATAAACTGAGCTATAATAGTGAGAAGTTATGCAGAGAGCAACCTGCCTCATAGAATGGTGTTGGTAATGGTCCTCCGCTGTGAGGCTAAGTGCTCTGTGTAGTCTCTCCTTCCACCAACACCATGCAGAACAAGCAGCTCTGACCCCCTGTTTATAGACAAGGTCACTGAGCTGCAGAGAAACTTTGTGGCCATGGCTAGGTGCCTAAGAAGGGCCAGAGTAATTCATACTCAGGTGTTTTTGATTTCAGAGTCTGCACATAGAAGTCAAGTTCAAGGAAAGGTATTTAGGCAGTACAGTACCATAGACAGAGGCGGTGAGGCAGGAGGGTATTCTGTGCTCTTGACACATGTAGGTGTTTTTTCCTACTAGATTCTCATCATAGAACACTTCTGTTATCATTTCTCTGACAACAGCTAGGTGTTCTATTATTCAATTCAGTTCTGACACTCTCTACATATAGATAGAGTCAGAGTCTCAGTTAAAGGTTCATTCCCATCAGACTGACTTCCCCCACCTATGCCAATAACAGGTCTACCTTGGTGGTTCTTTTGGGATTCTGACAACCTGCCCTTTGGGTCTAGTCATCTGCTACAGTGGCTCACTGAACTCAAGAAAACACGTGACTAGTGTCATCAGATGCAAAGCATATTTTAAAGGATATAAATACCTTGCAGGAAATTCCCATGGATTCAGAACTCTATGACAGGACACAGGGTCAGAAGTCAAGTATTAGAATCAAAGATCCACCCCTGCTTCTCAGAAAATTATAAGAATTTTAGGATCTCTGTGCCAAGAATTGGAGATGAAAACTATTATGATTTAAATCAGAAATGTACCCCCAACCCTGCTCATGCCTTGAATACTGGTCCTCATCCAGATGTAGAGCTGTTTTAAAGGCTCTGGAGTTTTTATGAAACAGGGCATGGCTGACAGAAATAAATTTACTAGAAGTAAACTTTTGCAGGTTATGTCTACCCCTGTTTTTCTGCCTACCTTCTCTGTTTCCTGGTCTACCACAGTGTGAAAAGCCACTGCCACCCACTCCCACAGCCGTGACTGAGCTGTTCCCCCACATCCTCTACACTACAATGGACTGAAATCCTTCTGAAATCATGAGCCGAAACAGACCTTTCTTCCTTGAAGTTATTTCTGTCAGGCATTTTGTCATAGTCATACAAAAATAACAGAAAAGACCAAAGTGTACTTTTAAAAAATTATAAATTGCAATATCATAGACTAAATATATGGAACAGGTTTGACAAATATATATCTAAGACAGTTCCTGATACCTCTCTAAAGTACTGCCCCCCCCATAAAAGGATTTAAGGTGGCAGTTTGGTTTGGGATTCATATGCATTCATTCCTCATTCATATTCTCATTCTCTCTCTCTCTCTCTCTCTCTCTCTCTCTCTCTCTCTCTCTCTCTCTCTCTCTCTCTTTTTCTGTGCATATATAGCCCACACTCTCTATCTCTTTTTTTTCTCTCTCTCTCTCTCTCTCTCTCTCTCTCTCTCAATTTTGCTGTGCATGTATAGACCATACTCTGGATCTATTTCTTAAGTCTTACTAAATCTCCTTACTTAACTTTATAATTATATAATATTTTTAACTACAAAACTCATGGATGCACATTGATCTATTAACAGACAGGGAGCATCTGGCCAAGGGCCACTGTAGGTACATCCTGTTTGTGCCAGAGCCCACATTTTTTAGCTCTGGGTTAGTTGTGGGGTTCTTAAGCTGGTCACCAAACAGCAAGTTCCTTTCTGTACTTGGTATGTATATAATAAGGTGGGAAGGATCTTTTGAAAACCTGACTTTGCAGGCATTTGGTTAGGGCTGCCTTCTGAACTTTGCATACCTATCCATTAATTATCCTTTCTCTGGAGCAGCTTGCAACCATAGTCTTTCTAATAAGGGCCAAAGATTAGCTTGGAACTATTTTGATTTACTGGTTTATTGATTTTGACCAAGAATTGTTTTATTTGCAACTCTTCACTTAGAAAGTCAATTTGATAGCCTTTGCCCATTCATTTAGAAGGTGTCAGTTACAAGTAATCTTGCCAGTGAGTAATGGAGGAGCTAAAATTACTAATAAATTAATTAGAATGTATTTATAAACCCAGTGGAAAGGCAAGAATGAAGTTGCTTTTCTATTGATCGTTACACTGGTCGTTAACTGCTAAGAAAATGCCATTGTGCCAAACAGAGAACATCAGCCCGTTCCTTTGGTAATTGCAGATACCTTCATTAGGATTTCAATATCCTGGAAAGTACTTACTCGTTCACTCCATGTGTTTATAATGTGTGGGCAGTACTTGAACAGTCTGTGGCAACTCTAAGGGCTTAGGCAGACAGCAGCCTCCATGTAAGACCCTCTCTTTGTCAGTCAGGGCTCCTTTAAGATTTTGTGGTCTGGATTTGTTTTTCTACCAAGCATTCGTGTTAATAATTCAGTTCTACATGGATTTTATCCAAGAGCTTGGATCTTGTGGAAGGGAGAACCTGGGGGTAATCTTCCATTTGGTGTCTGTAACCTCAGGACACCAGATGCAGCAAGGTTTTCTTTTCCGAGGAAGCAAGTAGAATTAGCTGGCTGGCCATTGTTTCTCTGTGAGATGCTGTCAGACAGTGGTTTTCCGTGCAGGAGTGAAGTGGGACACAGTAGTTCTGGAAGAAGAGGTACAACATCTGTACAATTTGACCAAAGATATTGTTAATGTCTCAGATTAAATGAAAGAATGTTACCACACTATCATGTCACAGATGAAAAATTTGTGCTCCACTGGATATAATAAAAATATTGTAATCCAGCTACCAAAAATGCTATCCTCATTCCTTAGGTCACTTCCTACATGTTTTCCACGTAGTCCCTGTAAATCAAGGACCATGTGCTGTGGCCCAGCCCTAGCTCAGAATGAGTTTTGCTGTATGCAGAGCTTTTCCCATAGTATATGAAGATCTCCACCTCTGGCAGAGGATCTAGACCCATGTCATACAGTGCCCATGGAGACCAGAAAGGGATTTTGTATCCCAAGGAACCGGAGTTACTGATGGTTGTTAGCTGCCTTATGAGTGCTGGGGATTGAACCAGGGTCCTCTGCATGAGCTCTTAACTGCTGAGCCAGCTCTCCAGCCCCTCTTTGTGTTTTATAATAGATCAGAGAAGTCATAAGATGGTTCTGCCCAAATCAAAGGCCAGGACTCCAGAGCTGGGAAATCCACAGAAGAGGGATTGTTTTCCCTCTTCTTTCCAAATGAAAAAACCAAGGCCCAGAATGGATCTGGATTATCTTATCAAGGTTACAGAGTTAGTACTGTGTACTAGAAATGGTCAAAGAATAGATGTCAAGTTCTCTTGTTCCTCTCTCCCCAAAATTAGAAGGAAAATAAGAAAAAACGGTGAGGAGGCAGGTATGTTCCTTAGTTTCCTGCAGTTATCACTTCACAACATATGTGTGTGTTAAAACTACAGGTTGCCCACCAAAATATATTGTTCTTGTTTTAAAATTAAGATTGCAGAGTTAGTTAGGGATCTAATTATAAACTATGTATCCAACTCAGTTATTCACTGCTTTAAACCCAGAAGTAGTAAGACAGTCCTGATAAGGCTCAGGTTTTACTTTGCAATGTCAGAAGACAAAGGAGAAGGAAGGATTGGTATTGTTACCTTCTTTCTTTTTGGCATAAAAGGGAACAGGCTTGATCAGTTGCTAAATACAAAAGTAGTACCATGAAAATTGTGAATAAGAGGTGAAGTTGTGCTCATCTGTAGCTTTTCATGGGTGATGGTAAGTTTTGATAGTATGCTGTGAGCAGACAGTAAAAGATGTAAATTACTGTCCTCTTTGCTGGACTGTACGTCCACTGAGAATAGGGTCCTGTAGCCTAAAAGCCAAAGGTCAAGAAAGCCGTAGGGGCTTCCCCTGCCTGTACTATGAGACAGAATGGTCACGCCTGACTTTGTCCCATGCTTGCCAGCCCGGAGAGCTCAATTTAGAGATCCTTGAGAGATATTCAGATATCACTCCTGTTTTCTTTATTTAGTTGTCTGTTTTGATGCCAAGATAAACTTTGATGACAATGCTGAATTCCGACAAAAGGACATATTTGCTATGGACGACAAATCAGAGAATGAGCCTATTGAAAATGAAGCTGCCAGATATGATCTGAAGTACATAGGACTGGATGGGAACATTGCCTGCTTTGGTAAGAAGCATTGATATCAAAGAATGCTTTCTGAATTTAAACTTTTAAAATATGTATGTATGATTTTTATTTTATGTATGAGTGCATTGCCTGCATATATGTACGTGCACCCATGGTCATGCAATGCTCACAGAGGCCAGAAGAGGGCATCGGATCCCCTGGAACTGGAGTTACAAACAGTTGTTAGCCACCATGTGGGTGCTGGGAATCAGAACTGGGTCCTCTGCAAGAGCAACCAGTCCTCTTAAAATTTATTTTTATTTTATGTGCATGGGTGTCTTCTTGCCTGCATGTATGTAAGTGTACCGGTATGGAGATCAGAAGAGGGTGTCAGATCCCCTTGGATCTGGAGTTTACAGACTCTGTTGTTAGTCACCATGTGGGTGCTGGAAACTGAACCCAGGTCCTCTGAAAGAGCAATCAGAGTTCTTAACTGCTGAGCCATCTCTCCAGCAAGAATGCTTCCTGGATTTTTATAGAATTTAACTACTTTGGATTTAACTGATTTAAAGCAGTTCTCCACTCTGACACTGTTGAGATTTTGGTGGGGTATTTCTTTGCTGTGAGAGACTTTGGCTATTAGGCCCAGTAGCAGCAAGATAGCTAAAAGTCCTGGAAGTAAAACAAAGCAAGGGAAGTCCCAGGTTCCAGGTATTTTTGAGTATCTATCATGTGGAAAATCGCCTCAAGTCGGAACCACCGAGAGGCTGCAGAGATGACTCGGGGGCAGAGTGCCTGCTGCCCAAACTTGAGCACTTGGGTGGATCCATAGCACTCACAGAAAAGCTTGGCAGCATTGTGCCCCAACTCCCAACACTGTAGGCATGGGAGACAGTTGGATCCGCGGGGGCAGCCAATCTAGCCAATTGGTGGTCTCTAGATTTAGGGAGAGACCTGTCTCCAAACCTAAGGTGAAGAAGGAATAGAGGAAGACATCAAATATTGACTGCTGCCTCCACACACATGTGCACATGTATGTACACACATAAAACATACATTCACATATACACTGCACACATATGCATGGAAATATAAAAGAACCATTGATTCAAAGCACCTCAGCTTCATCTAGTGAAACTCAGATACTCTGCGATGCAAGTCAGTGTTGACATGCTGGGAACTACTGTGAAGCTGGACTAAAAAGTGTTTTTTAGAGTGTTCTGGCTTCCTTTCTGTTGCTGTGATAAAACATAGCTCAGGGAAGAAAGGATATATTTGACTTGCAGGTCACAATTCATTACTGAGGGAAATCAAAGCGTGGACTCAAGTAGAAACCATTGGAGGAAACTGCTTGCGGGCTCATGTGCTGGGTCTTGTTTTCTTCTGTACTCCAGAACCAACTGCTCAGGTTATGGTGCCACCCACTGTGAAGGGGGGCCCTCCTTCATCAGTCATCAGTCAAGACAGTCCCCATAGACATGCCCACAGTCCAGTCTCATCTGGGAAATCCCTCAGTTGAGACTTTCTTTTCTGGTGACTTGAGGTTGTGTCAAGCTGGTAGTTAAAGCTGACTAGGGCACAGAGGAAGGAGCAATGAACAGACATTGTAATCACTTTGCTAACATTTCAGATTCAGTAGTAACCAACTGACAAAATACTTAATTCATTATGCCAGTATATCAACCCAACAGTGGGCTCCATCGCAGTCATCTAAATTTGTGAAGATGGCTTACATAGCTGAGATAGGAATGGGACTGTAGATGCAGTACAATTCCAGTTATTCTCCACAGCGCCTAGTGCTGGGATTTATAGGCTTCTGACTTAATTGTGCACGACTGTGTTTCTGCTAGAAACAACTCATTGTACTGGAAGCTGGGGCCTTCATCTTAATGGAATTAAAATAAAAAAAGATTTGTTGCTCATTAAACTAACACCATCATTATATTCAGAAGTGAAGAGACTTCATCCAACAGTTTGCTGTTCAATACAATAGAAAATGACATCCAATTACAATTGATACCTAAAGCCCCTGCTTTATACTGGAACAGTGTCTGAATGCTACATATCACTCATACCCTTCTGATCTCAATAAGCTAATGCAGTCTCCATGTCTGTAGGCCTTGGGAAGGGAGAAAATATTGTAGAATGTTTAGAACAAATTAAATACAGATATTTCTGTATAGATGTGTCTAACAAGCTACTGTTAACACATTTCGTATGGCATGAAGTTCCTTTATAACTCATTCTTCTTTTTTTGGTCTTTTTGAGACAGGGTCTCCCTGTAGCCCCAGCTGTCCTGGAACTCACTATGTAGACCAGGCTGGCCTTGAACTCACAGAGATCCACCTGCCTCTGCCTCATGAGTGCTGGGATTAAAGGCGTGCACCACCAAGCCCGGCTTATAACTCATTCTTATTTTAGCTGCCCCCAACGTAATTGAAATACTCACAGCTCATAGGCTTGTCAAAGGAATTCAAGGATCAGAAAAAGTAAAGGATAGCTTACCTTGAGTGGTTTGCTATGTTGCAGTTTTTTCCCTTGTAAGCTGAGGAAAATAATTCTCTGTAATTAACCATAAGAAGCAAAAGAAGTAAAATTGATCAATAAAACTTAACTTTGGAAAACAAGAATTTCAGTGTTAAAACTCTTCTTGTATTCTTAAAATAAGTCCCTAAGATGCCATATTTTCCTCTAGTTTTAATAATTGGGTTACTAAGCATCTTGTGTTAACTTTTGAATTCTGTCTTTGCTTTTTAAATTTATTTTAAATTATGCATGTGTGTTTATCTATATTTGTGTTGTGTGTACATGTCTGTGTGAATATTTGCATGTGAATGCAGGTGCCCACTGAATCCAGAAGAGCATGTTGGATCCCCTGGAATTGGAGTTAAAAGTGGTTGTGAGTGACCTGATGTGGGTGCTAGGAACAGAACTCAGTTCCTTAGCAAGAGCAGTACCTGCTGAGCCATCTCTCTGGCCCCTTATCTTTACTTTTTGAAACAGGGTTGCACCATTTGGCCCAGGCTGTTCTAGCACTTACTATATAGCCCAGGCTGGACTTGAATTCAGGGTCCTCTCACCTCAACTGTCTGAGTGCTGGGATTATAAACATATGCCAACAGGCCTAGCTTTCTATACTAATTTAAAGAAGAATAAGCGGCAAAAGGATATTGGTTTTGGCTCTATCATTTGTTCTTTGAGTTGATGTCTGTGTTATCACACAAACTTGTGTATCTGTGGTAAGAATAACAAAAGTGTAGAACCCTATTGACATTTGGGTGTCAAAGAACATCTCAGCAAGGCAAAGATTAAGAGTTGCACTCTTACCTGAACTGAGAGCAATGGTAACAAAATGCACAAGATCCACGCAAGCTCAAACCAGACAAAATCCCAGCATGGAGTAGGGAGGTGGGGAGAAACCCCAACCTTAGCTGAGGAACTATTGGCAATGACACCTGCTAGGAGAGGGAGAGTTGGTTCTGTAAAGGGTGTGACACTAGATAGGTCCAGTGACACTGAACCAGATTCCCGTGGATGAATGCACACTGAAGGACATTTGGGAACACAAATTTGACTGGATAAGCCTTAATATATATGACAGAGTACATGAAATCCAGTGGAGGGTCTATAAAGAGGGTATAGATATGTGGTCTAAATATCAAAAATATTTTTATTTGTAAAAGTTTAATAATAACTTTATGAAAGAGTTGTGCTCTTTAATCAAGCCTTGTAAGCTGCTAGCAACTTCTCAGAGCCTTTTCTGTCTTTATTAATTCCCCTAAACTTAGCACTTTCAGAACATGCAACGTGCTCTTTAGCCCAAATTGGTTAGCTCTTCTTTCGCTTGCTTTGACTTCTTAGTAAATCCTTTCCTCATTCCCAGTTTCTTGTTTATTTTTTGCATACACATGCCCTGGTTGTTCATCATAAATGCCCATGATTTTATGAACTGAATGGAATTCTATACAAGCACAAATCGGCCTGGGAATGTATGTTGAGGCAAAGTTTATGTACCATTTTTCATGCTGACGAACCTATCTCCTGTTGCACGTTCTTTGCATTTCAGTGAATGGTGCAGGACTTGCCATGGCTACTTGTGACATCATTTTCCTCAATGGAGGGAAGCCAGCCAATTTCTTGGATCTCGGAGGTGGTGTAAAGGAAGCTCAAGTGTATCAAGCCTTCAAGCTGCTCACGTCTGATCCTAAGGTACCACTCTTTTGTAGGGAGACTGCACAGTGTTCTGGTTTCTCTCGCTTGGATATTACAGCCTGGTTCTTGCTGCTAAGAACAAATAAACCAGCATGTGTTTTGCAACTCCAAGTGTAAATCCTGCCATTCACTCATTGTCATACAGAATAATTACCTTTCATTTGGTTGAAAGACTTACAAGCAGCCCCAAAATCTCATTTAGAAACTGTGCCTACAAAGCCTTGGGAGATGGAACAGAGCACAAAAGAATCACAATATATAATATATGGGGGAAATAATAGCGTCAACTGTTTTTGTACGCTCTCTGATTTTAATTATGGCAGTGTGTAAGTGTTAAGTAGTGAGTGACTGAACATAGCCTCCTAAGGTCCATTGATGATTTATGTATATCTTGTCTTCTTAACGCCAGTGCGGTTGACTTTTCTTCTTATCTGAAGTGTAGCTGCCTGGAATTTTGTCACTGTACCCAGCTAGGGGGCATTACAGGCATTCAGTATAATATCTGTTACTCACTCTGCTTCAGCTGTGCTTAGTTGTCAGGGATAACAAGATTTAGGCGGTTGCTTCTTATACCAAAAGGACTACATTTTTCAAAATGTCTGTTACACGTGGTTTTCATTTAATTCTCTTAATAGGACTGTAAGCCAACTATATGCACAATCATTTGTATTAAGCTTTATTTAAGAGTTGGTAGCTCAGTATTGTTAATCTAATACATTTTATTGATTATCAGATTATTTGAAAACATGAAAAATCTAGACCATCGCTCATATCATCATGGATGAAAACAGTACCAGTCTGGGGTTTTTGTTTTGTTTTGTTTCATTTTTTCTTCCTTTGGTGTTGCGAACTGTATCTGAATACTTCCCATTAAGAAACACACTGGCAGGGGCTAGAGAGATGGCTCAGATGAACACTTTTGGTGCCCTTGCAGATGACCCAGGTTTGATTCTCAACACCTACAAGGTGGCTAACTTGGTGCTCTTGCAGATGACCTAGGTTTGATTCTCAACACGCACATGGTAGCTAACCACCATCTATAACCCCAGTTCTGGGAGATCTGGCATCTGTAGTCATTGCATGTACATGGTGCCTTTACGTACATGCAGGTAAAACACTTATACACATTAAGTAAAAATAAATAACTCAAAATGAAATGCACCGGCAGTAGCTGATTTTAGTTCACAAATATAAAATTTTGTTCAATATCTAAGGTATGCTTGTTAGTGTTCCTTGTGACTTAGTTTTTGCTAACTAAATATGATGTACCTTATATTTTCTTCTGATTTCCAAAACAAATGCTAAAATATTATCAACTACTCACCCTCAGTTCTCCGCTGCTGTTCTGGGATGACAAAGCTGTCACAATACACAGCCACCCAGCTACCAAGAAAGTGTTTTTTTAATATTTATTATTTTTATTTTACATGTATGTGAGTGTATTGTCTGCATGTAGGTAGGTGTACCTGTGCTGTGAAATGCTCGTGAAGGTCAGAAGAGGGAGTAGGATCCCTTGGTCTGGAGTTAAGGATGGTTTTTAGCTACCATGTGGGTGCTGAGATTAGAACCAGGGTCCCCTGCAAGAGCAGCCAGTGCTCTTAACCGCTGAACCATCTCTCCAGCCCCAGGAAAGTATTTTGAAAAACAAAAAGTCTGTGTATGTAGCTGTCTCATTGGTTGGTTGCCAGCCTCTCAAAGCTATTGTTTCACTTACACTCCTTCCTACTTCGTTCTAAGGGAAGAGTCCTTTTTCCACCAGAGATTCCCAAGTGAAATGAAATCTGTAAATACCATGTAGTGCTCCTCTGGCTGCCTGAACCACAAAGTACCCAGAGGACAAATGGTGAGAATAAAATACTAAATTTTAGTATCGACTGAATTTCACTCTGTGCTAATAATAGAGACCCACTCACTGAGGGATTAAATGTATGGGGACAATCATCAGGGCTTTCTTTGAAATATCTTTTCTTAGTAGCTGTTCTTGAATTTTAATTTTATAGACATACAGGATAAAAAGGGATAAAAAAATTCACTTGCCGAGCCATTTTTGTTGTTTTTCTTTAAATAGTCTTGAAAGATTTTGACTTTACCTTATGGAATATTTGCAAGTGCTTGGAATATTTCAACTCTCTTGAGATCGGCTGTCATGGTGGGGTGGATAAAGGTATGTGGGAGTTATTTTCCCCATGCTATATCAGGAAAATGAATGCATAGCTCATCTTGCAGTACATTTTCCACATCTTCAGATTTCAAAGCCACTTAAAAGGCAAGGAGATGTAATGGGTATTTTCAGTCCTGACATTGTTTTACACAAGTCAGAGAACAGTTTAAAAGAAAAGGTACAGATGAATTGATTTGATTTTTGCAAAGAAACTGCTTGTGGTTCTGGCACTAATTATTTCAAACAGAGCTCTGTCCACCTGCCCACAAGTAGAGGTACCCAAGAGCCCTCAGCTAATTATTTCAAAGGTATTGATTTCTTGTTAGATATAAGAATTAGTTATATGTACTGAAACTCAGAATTGCAAAGTACCTATTAGTGTTAAGGTTAAATCAAACCCATGGATACTGTCAGCTATGTGTTTGTCATTCATGCAACATATCTTATTGATGAGGTAATAAACGTAGTATCCATCAAGAAAAGTGTTGCAGATTGACGTGTATTTCTCCTCACAATGTTAGCCACAGCGCTGAACATCACATTTCCCTTGCTTGCCCCAAAGCATAAATGCTTGTTTTTGTCTTTCATTACAAACATCTATATAAGGAATGGGCTTCTTATTTGTTTATAATGCATGACACAGAATTCCTCTACCAAACTGTCTAAAAACAAGAATCTTTTCAAGATAGCTCAGTTACTAAACTGGCATCACATGAAATATATCATTAGATATTTTATTATTCTCTTATTTTCCAGCAGGACTGGAGATGAGAGAAAGGTAATGGAGTTTGTTCTGTAGAAAGAGAGATCTGATCTGATCTTCATTTTGATTTGCAGAATTCTAAACAGTATTCTTAAAATCACAGGAAGTAGAAGTGGATGTAAAATAAGAAATGCAAGTGGAGTTTTGTTCTAATTTGTTAAGAATTTGAACACATTTTAAAGAAAAGAACTAACGGGAATGTTATCCTAGAATTTTTGTTTCTGTAAATTATGCTTTGGCTTGTATTGTTAATTCTGAGTTTGGGATTCCAAACGTGTAAAAAATGAGTAAAACAGCATCTGGCCTGTGTAAAATGTCTTGTGAAAATGAATAGAGGAGAGTTGGCATGGATTTTACCAATAACCCCTCTGCTGGCTGGTGTAAGCAGGCCTGTTGCCGCTAAAGGTCTCATTCTGAAAAGCAGGTATAGACGAGTGGCATTAGAGTGTCACCTGGCATGACTGTACTGTGATCCCTGGGATAGAGCCAACTTAGAATCCTGTTTCCAGAGCCCTTTAGACATCTAAAGCAAACTTGCTGCCTAAGCCCCAGGCCTAGTGCAAGGGGGGAGAGAGTTCTTGATGGGGCTTGGCAGTCGAAGTTTAATTAATCCTGTCTTTACTGCTTATTGGTGTGGGATCCTGGACTTGCTATTTAACTTCTATGTGTCTCAGCTCCCCCTCATTTATAAAGTGGCAATAATAATGTTCACTAAAGAATATTACTTAGTTACATGAATTAGAACGTACATAACTTTCTTTATAATTTTTTTTATTCTTATTTTATGTATGTGAATGTTTTACCTACATTCATGGTAAGTGCATCCATGCTTACACTGCCTTCAGTGGCCAGAAGAGAGCATTGAATCATCTGAAACTGGAATTAACAGATGGTTGTTAGCCTCCATGTGGGTGCTGGGAACTGAACCCAGGTCTTCTGCAAGAACAGCCTGTGCTCTGATCCACTGAACCATCTCTCCAGCTTCATAAACCTCTCTCTTTTAAAGGGACAATTTTATGGGATGGTATCATTTTAAAAATTTAAGAAACTAAATATTGCCTATGTACTGGGGAGAGGACAATGGTGCCTTGAGCGTGTTCCCTGGGCGGGGATTGGGACATGAGTTTCTTCTTACTTATCTTCACTAGTATTTCTGACTTTACTATTTTAACCCTGACATTTGTTTTTACTGAAACAGTACAAATTATAAGTCTGTCGTTGGAAGAATTATCACAAGCTGAACACATCCATGAAACCTCCAACTAGATCAGGAAATGCAACAGGACCACTGTCCTTGAACCTCCTTGTGAACTATCCGAAAATCCTTCTCCCATCCTTACCTTATCCCCAAAGGCAACCACTGTCTTACTTTTAATAACACAGATTTGTTTCATCTAGTTTTGAACTTATGGCATCATATGCTATTTGCTGTTCGTTCTTGTCATCCTTCACTTATTCTCACTGGTGCTACTGGCCAGTCTTTCAGTTCAAAGCATCCTAGCAGGGGTATGGCAGCACCTCGTTGGTTTAATGATGCCCTTGCTCCATGACCTACCTATGATATTGGGCACATTGTATATACTTGTTAGTCATATGAATATTCCCTACATGTTTTGAATAACTCATCCACGAAGACAGGAAAATAATGCATTATTTGCATATCAACTTGGCAAACATTTCTGAAGCACAATAAAAACTTGTGTCGTCTTTTTGAATGTTCAATCTTTTATGATTTTCAAGCCTTAGATTTAGATTAATGTCCATACATGAAATGAGAGGCATCAGAAACAGGTTTGTTGGCAGCCAGTTTTGCTCTATGTGCTGTTTTGAAAGTGATTGAAGGTTGAAATGATTCATTCTCTACTCGGACAACCAAGAAAACAGAATTTAATAAAAGGAAGATTAAATTCATGTTTGAAAGAACCACCTAATATTGTTCAGTATAAACCTGACCAGAGACCTTCTCTTTAAGCCCTGTACTTCAGGGTCTCTGTAATTGGAGATCAGAGAGGTAAAGCCATATGCCATAGTTTCAGTATTAGGTATAAGCAGATGGCTTTTTATTATAATAAA